ATATATATATATATATATATATATATATATATATTTTACAAATTAATCTACGATTTTTGTGGGTTTTTTTTTTTTTTTTGCAAAAAGATCAGCAAATTATCCTCTAAACTGGCCTTTTTAGGGGGCTTTCCTCTCAGGGTGAATGAGCTTTTTTATAATTGTTTTTTTCCTGACATCTTTGAAAGACAGAAGCAATAATTAATGCATCCTTGGCCAGGATATAATTATAAAATATGACATGATTTTAAAAGTGACCTATAATATCGACTATGCAATACACTTTAATTTATCTAGTGCTAATAAAATTATTAAGCCTATTTGGAGAGAGAGATGTTTATAATGTGACAATATGTCAGTCATCGTGATTCGTGTAATAAGATGACTAGGCCTAGACTACTTGTTCTGAGCAGGTGTTGTCAGTGAACAGGCTGTAAAACTGTTGTCTAAGTTACAGACTGATACTAATTAAATGGGAAACGAATCGATTACCTAACGTAACCTCGGTTCTCTCTAGATGAGGGAACGAGCATTGCGTAAGCTAGCTTACGCTACGGGAAAGATTCATCTTACATCAGTCAAGTTGTCATAGTTTTTGTCAAACAAGTTGTGAATTTGTTGTAACATTAAAACAGGAGATCATGACTTACTCCGTGCTCCAAGTGATGTTCGGAGCTCCAGTGATTAGTTTCATCTGTGGGACGGGTGAAGAAACTTTCGGAAGATGTTGTAACAGAATCATATGAACAATTCCAGGATATGCTTTTTTTCATTGGTTGTTGCGTTAAATTTTACCCAGATACAATAGTGCCCTTTTCTGATTGGCTATTAAGTAGCACTTCTCTTTTTTTGATTGGCTGATGCGTAGCAGGGTCGACTGCTGAACTCCAGGCGAGACGCGCTTGATTCTCACGTGAGAGCGGCGCGGCCAGAGAAATTGCGTATATTAAATATATTATTAATAGTTTTTCCGCATGAGAAATACAATGTGTGACGGGAGTGTGAGACAAAAGACTGAAACGAGTGACTGTCATGCTCAATGCGTGACACACTATAAAAAAAATATTTCACACTGACTCCACATTTAGGGGGGCCACAAGGGGGTCCAAGCTTGTTGTCGCAGGGGCACTGGCCCCCCCAGGCCCCCGCCTAGAACCGCCACTGCTCACACACACGCACACACACACTTTCTCTCTCTCTCAAGAAGCAAAAACATGACTGCTAAAGGTTGTATCAGCGATGGCGGGGTAACATCACTTAACATCACGAGTGATATTCCCTTAGGCCACGCCCCCTTGTCTCCCCAAAGTATTATAAGCAATCATGCGCATCCCGTGTGCAGAATGATGCACTTGAAGCAACACCAAGTCACAGCACGCAACGCTTCACATTGAAAAGAACATAGCGAAGGGATGGTATCTATAATCTATGCTTAGTAGGGCTGCACGATTTGGGAAAATGTTATATTGCCATTATTGAGCCAATATTGCAATTGCGATTTGCGACTCCGATATAATAAAATGGTTTCATGAGTCCAACTTGCTTGGTTCTAAAGTAAAATGCACACACAGATTAATGTTTATTTCTCAACTCAAACTAAAAACAACAACAACAACAATAAATGATTGATAACACCTATAATGATCAATAAACCATCAACCAAACCAACATTACAGTGATTCCATCAATTGAAAGCCATCAACTTTTTAAAAAATTATTAGGCTTAAAAAAAATATATAACAGCTTTTAAATTAAGTGAACTTCAAACAATCCCCACATAAACCCATAATAAAAAACATATTTACCTGTGCCCTTCCTGTCTTAACAGGTACAGAAATTGAATAAAGTTATCAAACAGTCTGCGCTGCCTGAATCATAAATTATATATATAATAATCCTTATTAAAGCTACAAAAGTTCTTTACTCAAGATCAGTGAGTAATTTTCTAATTTCCCTTTGTTCTTTTAACTTTACTGAAAGAACGCTTTATTCGCTGCTGGCCCTTTAAGAGCACCCGTTGCCGAGACGCGGATCTCACACGCGCCTCATAGCACAACTCACAACTCTCACATTTTGGCATAATTGTGTGTGCTATTGTTCGTTCAAGCTCGAAAGAGAACTGTTTATTCTGGGCTGGCACACGGTCAGTGCATGCGCATTATGCGAGTCTCATCTATTCTAATCTAGGGCACTCACAGGCAGCTTTTCACTTCTTGTCGTGCAAAATGCGAAAAGGCATTTGAACCAATAAGAGGGGGATCTTGTAACACTAGTCAAAGGATGACAAAAAAGAAGAGATGCTGCGCTAATAGCCCTACTTTGTTTATTTCATTTAAAATCGCGGCATTTTGCGTTATATAATTGCATAGGTTTGAGATCGCTATTACGACTGCGATATAATTAATCGTGCAGCACTAATGCTTAGTGTATTCTAAAGGGCAATAAACTCCACTCCAGCAAGATAGTCATTTTATGCAAATCATAGACCTTTATGCCTTATCTACAAATAAAGTATAATATTGGGAACATTGATCTTGAAGAGAGTGTCGTCGTGTTACTGTCGCAACCGAACGCGACGCGCTAATGCTGATGCATGGAGAATGACTGAGGCGAGATGACTTTCCGTTAACTTTAACTTAGAGACTAAAATATTAATTTTACCACACATTAAGCTATTGAATGACTTTAGAAGTCTTGGAATATAGTGTGAAAACTTGATTGTGCTTTACAGTTTTTTATGCCTTTAGTGGGGCTTAACAAAATAACACAATATGCAGAATGTCGGACGTCACTTATAGGCTAAACTGTTTTTATAGATAAAACTAGGCTATTTACATTCGGCAGTCATGAAAACAAATCTCAGATAACGGTTGACTAGGTAACAATGTGTAATTTTGCGCCGGAGTTCTCCTTTAACTTACATTAGCTAGCTAACTACGAACGAGCTAACCAGATAACATTAACAAATTGACAAGCACTTACTGGGCAGAATATGGCTCTTCAAATGACGAACGAAATTGGAGGTTGTCATCTGACTGTCCGCGATCTTAACGTTGCATGTCTTGCAAAGCGCTGTTCTTTTGCCATCTTGTTGTAAGAAATTCTTGAATCCAAAAGCGACGACGACCCTCGTTATCCCTCCGGCTGACATGTTGATGTGATCTGATGTAAGTGGGCGTGGTGTGCGCGTAAGGTATGAGAAGGCATGACTGATGATCTCTGATCCAGTCATGACAGCGCTATTCTCAGCCTGCGCTCCAGCTGGATCAACTTTATTTTTTTTTACATAATTTATATATTTTATATTCAAACTGAAAACATGATGTGATTAACACTCAAGTCATATTATTACATGCAAGTGTGTTTGATTTATGGACCAAATTTTTAGATCAAGTTTATGGACCAAGTTAATTTAATTAATAAACTAATTATATAAAACTATTAATGCACTACAATTAAACTGGTTATATGCCTTTACTTATAAAAAAATAAAAAACTTATTTAAAAAAATACCAGGCTTAAGGCATTTATTTTTTATGCAGGCCATACACACAGGAGTGAAATGGTTAATACCCCTCCCCCTACAAACACACACACATTCACAGACAGGCAAAGACAGCAGGCTCAGATTGAGCAAGACCACATTCAAACAAACATATCTGACTTTCTGTGGGTCCTAGCTAATGAGTGTCAATTAGAAAGTTGTCCGGCTCGAGGAGTACAATATACATACCGATTTTTGTAACTGTAGATAAAACTAACAACCCCACTTTTGTCAAAAGGTGGCGCTACTGAGCCCTCACCACGCCCGTTTCTGAAACTTTGCACGTGTCTACTGGCTAATAAATGTGATGTGTCTGTCGAGTTTCATGCAATTTCAAGCATGCTAAGGGTCTCAAAAGCATCCTAAAAGAATGGTAACGTTTGATGCGTCGCCACGGCAACAGTTTCAAAGATATCAAGAATCCATTCACAGGTCTACATCTGCCGTATGTTTACATTATACAGATGACGTTTGAAGCAAATCGGGTAAAAATAAAAGGGTGATATCAAAGCATTTTGAAAGTGACACACTTCCTGCTGCCAGTTGGTGGCGCTATAACTTTGACTCACAATAGTCACATCCATGTGATCGTCCTCTTACAGCGAACACACTGCTGAAGTTTCATCAAGATCAGTTAATGTATGCTGAAGTTATAACACACTTCCTGGTTCACGTTTCTCGCCATGATTTCGTTTCCTCGCCACGGCCAAACCGTTCGAGATATCAAAAATCCCCTCGCAAACTTTCATCCTCAATGTCTTGACTTCATGCTGACCGAGTTTTGTCGAATTTGGATCAAAGCTCTAGGAGGAGTATTTAACATTCCATTGCGAGCGTTTTACAAACAAACCTCAATAGCCGACTTCCTGTTGGGCTGGGGTAAAAAGTAAAAGCGCGAGGTATAGATGAAACTATGAGATCAACATGTGCACAGAGTTTCATATTATTACATACAAACGTGTTTGAGTTATGGACCAAGTGTTCGTACCCCGTTCCAGGGGGCGCTGACGAGCCGCCCTGCCACGCCCGGGTACAAGCTTCAGGCCGGCTCTGATGGCCGCGGGTTCTGACCCATGTGCAAAGTTTCAAGAGTTTTCGAGCACGTTAAGGGCCCCAAAAATGCCCAAAAGGTTACAAAATAATAATAATAAATAATCCTTAGGAAAACAATAGGGCCTTCGCCCTTTCAGGGCTTGGGCCCTAATAATAATAATCCTAAGGAAAACAATAGGGCCTTCGCCCTTTCAGGGCTTGGGCCCTAATAATAATAATAATAATCCTAAGGAAAACAATAGGGCCTTCGCCCTTTCAGGGCTTGGGCCCTAATTAACTTCATCGTCAGAGTAATTTGTGCTGAGATTTGTGTGTTTAGCTACACAGGATGATTTTAGTCATGAAATTAAAAGATTCATCTTACTGAGGACAATGATAGATGTGACAATAAAAGAGATGGTCTTACCACAGTGTCTCCAGTTTACAGCTAGGATCCTCCAGTAAAGGAGAGAGAAGTTTCACTGAATCTCCTAGTTTACTCTTTGACAGATTCAGTTTCCTCAGGTGTGAGGGGTTTGATCTCAGAGCTGTAGCCAGAGCAGCACAACCTTCTTCTGTGAGATCACAATCATCCAACCTGTAGAGAACAACGACACACTCAGATCAGTTTAGCAGTGAATCCATTATTAAAAAGAGAAAGTACAAACTTAAAGGATGTTTTGTTCAGTGTTTGATTGATCAGGGTCTGTATTTAATCTGTTTTAATTATGACATTTTACGGTTATTTATATCTGTAACAATATGTGTGAAGCATTGATTTGTTTATGAGAGATACTTTCAAACCGCAGTCCGTACCTTTTTTGGCTTACAAATTATAGTAAGTATAATTACATATCCAGCCGGTTCAAAACTCTCTACTTGCCGTAGCTCAATTCAAAACGATAAGCTTGTAATAATGTTTTTAATTCCAGTGGTACTGGTGGATTTCCTCGGGAGATTCGAGCATGTCTTTGCGTCATTACGTCACATCTGTACGAAACCGGACCCATGCGAAAACAAGGATAAATATCGGAAGGGCATTAAATGTAGTCACACAATACTGATGTTGAACATTTAACAAGCGATTGTTGGATTTAATCATCGCAATTTACTGCAATGATTTTTTTCCTTAGTTGGAACTAACTAACCCTTAACTGAGGGGCCGCTAACGCGACACCGTTCCAACAGAAAACCCCCAACCCTTAATGCACTCCGGCCTGTTTATTCAGATGACAATAGTGCCTGGCGGCTCGAGAAAGCAAACCTTGAAATAGGTTCCAGGGTGCAGGCATTGAATAATAATAAAAAAGAAAGGTTATCATCTCCGAACAAACTTCAAAAACGCGAATATATGAAAGCTGACGGTGTGCACATGCATATTACGTGTTTAGTCTATATGTATGCGCATTTGAATATATGTGTGCGCAGGTGTGTAGTCTTTCTCTATAAATTGACCTCAACAAACTACCCGTCTGTCCTTAAATTCATAATACAGAAAAAAAATTATCTCTTTTTTTTTCATATCCATGCGAACTGGAATCATAGTACATCTCCGAAATTTTTTCCAGACGGTCCAATCTGGGTTAGACAAACAATCTTTCCCTTCATTAAAAATCAATGAATCAATGAAGATCAGAAAAATAAACATTTAACATCGCTCTTTCCCTCAATAGTCTGTAAGAAACTATGGTCAATAAAATCTGTCTTTAAGGGACTGAGCTGCATATTTGTTCCTCTTCATACCCTTCAATACACTGACGTTCTGTGTTTTTCTTTGATTGTGTTTTAGCTTACCTCAAGGGCATCCAAGATGTAGGTGTCTTTGTTTCCACAGTAGTTTCAATTTTGATATTTTTAGGTCAAACCGTTCTTGTCTGTCAGTCATATAATGGAAGTTAATGGGGTCTACCCTGTGTCCACCTCAAAGAGCATGCACAGAGAAGTCCAAATTAAACATGATTTAATGACCCATAAATGTAAGAACACATTGATGGCCTAAGACACGAAACGAGCGGTTTGTGTGAGAAAACGAACAGTATTTATATCCTTTTTACCTCTTGTAACCAAAGTCACGTCCAAGTGATCTGATGGTGCGGACGCTTCGGTCTGCGCATTAGTTGTTCAATCATGTTTAATTTTGACTTCTCTGTCAGAATAATGTGCATGCTCTTTTAGGAGGTTTGACCTAAAAAATATCAAAATTGAAAATACTGTAAAAACAAAGACACCTCCATCTTGGGTGCACTTGAGATAAACTAAAACATATCAAAAATTAATTTCAAAGTGAACTATCCCTTTGTTAAGGATAGTTATCCCTTTTGTCTGAGAGTCAAATATGATCTTACCACAGTTTCTCCAGTTTACAGCGAGGATTCTGTAGTACATCAGCCAGATTCACTGATTCTCCGATTTTATTCCCAGACAGATCAATATCTCTCAGGTGTTCAGGGTTTGATCTCAGAGCTGAAGTCAGAGCAGCTAAACCTTCTTCTGTGACGCCACAATTCCTCAACCTGTAGAGAACAACGACACACTCTTCACTCTCAGTTCAGATCAGTTTAACATGTACAAAAAATAAACTGACTAACCTTGATTTCATATTTCTATAGAGACTATTTACCCTTGTGCATCATTAAAAAAAGTTACACATATGTACATAGAGGACAAATGCCCGGTGATGTCCCTGTCAAAAAACTGTTAGAAATTTGAAGCTTGGGAGCAAAGACTTAAGTTTGTTATAATTTTAAATTAGACCCTTGGCAGATTATTGCAGAAGTAAAAAAAATATAATAAGTACATCCAAAAAACAGTTATATAAGTTTAAGTTTATGAAAATTATTTATAAACATTATTTTATATAAAATACATATTTTATGAAACAAGTTGAACTCTAAAACGTCTAGAAAATCAAAGCCATGAATCTAAATAAGTTGTGTTCCAAATTTGAGGTTGATAAAATAAGATTTCAGTAAGATATTGTTTGGGTGCAGTATTAGATTTTACCCATTGGGTGCCAGCAAAACTGCACTGGTGCACAAAGTAATTGGATTTGTTATTTGCAGTTGAGTTCTCAATATTACAAACACACAAATATATATTTTTTTTATAACACGTATACTAACCACACTCTAACATCAACACACCCACATAAATATCATTGCATATTTTATCCAATTGCCTCTATAACATGTCGAAGCAGAAAACGGGAATAAAGTGAGTATTTGGTTTACAGGCCAAACCTGAAAAAATGGCACCATCTGATAATTTTTTTTTAAATAATTAACAATTTGAAGCCTTGCCAACCGAATGAAAGTCTCTTTACAAAGATAGCATCATTTTATTGTTAAATGGCCCTGGTATTAAAAATTGCAGTTATAATGGGTTTCAATGGGGACATTTTTGTCCAAAATGTGCTGGAGTATTTTGTTTACCTGCAAAATAGATTTTTTTAAAGGAAATGGAGATGAAATAGTAAAATTACAAAAACATAAACAATAACTTGTCCATGAGGATGCACAAGGGTTAAATATTTCTAATTGATCACGGTCATAAAAACAATAAAAAATAACAAGTTAATTCAAAAAGCTTGTAACATGCTTCAAAAATCCCAATTTAAATGGGAAGTTTAACAATAAAAGAGCCAAATCTTCATCTGCTATGTTTGTTAATCACTGTCACTTTTTATGGTGAAGGATAAAACAAAATCAACTTATTGTAAAAGTGATTTAGATTTTAGATTTAGATAAGTCCAAAAAATAAATAAACTGTAAGCACACTTGAGTCCTTTAAGCAAATTTAATAGCCAAGCTTTCGGTCACAAGACCATCCTCAGGGCAAACTCCTTCAAATCAGATTTAGATAAGTTCAAATTAAACATGATTTAAAGAAGGGAATGCAAGTACACATTGATGGCCGAAGACACGAAACAAGCGGTTTGTGTGAGAAAACGAACAGTATTTATATCCTTTCTACCTCTTGTAACCAAAGTCACGTCCAAGTGAACTGAGGGCGAGGGCGCTTCGGTCTGCGGTCTCTTTTTATTTTGTTGCTTGATCAAAATTAATGACGCAGACCGCATTATGTTTATTGCCACTGTCACTTTAAGACATCGGATCATGTACAACGAGATGCGGAAACAATTGCACTGATGCACATCCAATTCAACTGTTTAAGACATAACCGACATAGTTTACTGTACATGAATACTCTCCAAACCGAACATTTAGACATAATGTTGTGTGTATTTGTCCATTCAGACATGAAAGAGAGCTCAGTTCAGTACTCGCGCGCTGTATAGGTGTATATGTGCATGGCTCCACACATTTTTACAAGTTATGAGATAGCGGGGTAGATCAGCACATTACAGTACAAATGTGTGCATCTACCAGACACGCAGGCTAGCCTCAGTTCTGACTGGATCGCTTCCCAGATCGACACTATCTAACATTTTCATCTAACTTTTATGGTGGTGTCTTATCCTCTTTGACGTCATAGTTCCCCACTTTGAAAAACGAGTCGTTTTCAGAAAGCTTTTATTGGACTAACAAGGACGTTTTCATTTCTGAAACTTACAGGATATTCTTATAATATGATGATGACCTCTTAGATGTCAAAAGCTCAAGGAAAATTCGATTTCTCAGTTCATCACCCCTTTAAGAGTGTTTAAAGAACAGCATTAAAAATGACAGTAAATGACACTTCTTACCGTGTCAATATCAGAGAGATGATCTTACCTCAGTATCTCCAGTTTGCAGAGAGGATTCTGTAGTACAGGAGACAGCAGATTCACTGATTCTCCTATTTTATTCTCAGACAGATCCAGTACTCTCAGGTGTTCAGGGTTTGATATCAGAGCTGAAGCCAAAGCAGCACAACCTTCTTCTGTGAGATCCCAATTCCTCAACCTGTAGAGAACAACGACACACTCTTCACTCTCTCAGATCAGATCAGTTTAGCAGTGAATCCATTATTAAAGAGAAAGTTCAAACTTAAACCAAAAATCAATATGTTTGATGGATCAATTAAGAAAGAAAGATAATAATATTTCCTTATTGCACAATGTCTTTTTTTTTTTTCATGACACATATTTCAATTACTTTTTTTATTTGCAAAAACTTTTTAATAACTGATAACTGAATTATTTCTTCAGACTTAGAAAATGTATGGTGTTCCTGATTAAAAAAATAAATAAATACTGACCACTAAACTCTAGACAGCATCTGCAGCACTAGAGATTTGTAAACTTTTATTTTCCTAATGTTTTAACAGTGAACTGATTGATACTTACTTAACTGATCTGGATTCTTTAATCACAGGAAGCAGCTTCTGAAGAGCCTTTAGTTGTTCAGTTTTATTGCCTCTTTCAACAAAATCATTAATATCAAACTTGTCCAGCTTCTCCTCTGATGTCAACAACACAAAGACTAAAGCTGACCACTGAGATGAAGAGAGTTCGACTTCCTTTATTCCTCCAGATTTCAGATACTGTTGTATTTCCTCCACTAGTGAACGATCACCCAGTTCATTCAGACAGTGGAACAGATTGATGGATTTCTCTGGAGAGTCGATGGTCCTGATCTTCTTCTTGATGTACTCAACTGTTCCCTCATTGCTGTCAGATGTTCTCGTCTGTTTCATTAGTGTTTGTAGGAGAATCTGATTAGACTCCAGTGACAGACCCAGAAGAAACCGCAGGAAAAGATCCAGATGTCCATTTTTACTCTGTAGAGCCTCATCCACAGCTCTCTGATGTACATCTGATAAAGTATACTTCAGAAACATGGATAAGACAGAACACTCCCTAGAGAAAACCTGTGAGCTGTTGTTTTTATAAAAGAGATGCACATATAGAGCTGCTAGATGTTCCTGAACACTCAGATGAACAAAGCAGAAGACTTTCCCCTGATACCAGCCAAACTCCTCTCTGAAGATCTGAGTGCACAATCCTGAGTACACTGATGCTTCTGTCACATCAATGCCACACTCTCTCACGTCTTCCTCATAGAAGATCACATTGCCTTTCACAAGCTGCTGAAAAGCCAGTTTCCCCAGTTTGAGGATCAGGTCTTCATCCGTCACCTTCTTCTCATAGTCCTTCTCATGTTTGATGTTGGTCTGAAGGATCAGGAAGTGTGTGTACATCTGAGTGAGAGTCTTGGGAATCTCTCGTCTCTCTGCTTCGCTCATCATCTTCTCCAGAACAGCGGCTGAGATCCAGCAGAACACTGGGATGTGGCACATGATGTAGAGGCTCCTTGAGGACTTCAGGTGTGTGATGATTGTATTGGCCAGACTCTGATCACTGACTCTCTTCCTGAAGTATTCCTCCTTCTGTGGATCATTGAAGCCTCGTACCTCTGTCACTCGATGGACACACTCAGACGGGACGAGATCGGCTGCTGCTGGTCTGGAGGTGATCCAGATGAGAGACGAGGGAAGCAGATTCCCCACAATGAGGTTCGTCAACAACACGTCCACTGAGGCTGATTCACTCCCATCTCGCAACCTCACATCGCTCTGAAAATCCAGAGACAGACGACACTCGTCCAGACCATCAAAGATGAACAACACTTTATATTTGTCACTGGATATTTCCATTTCTTTAGTTTCAGGGAAAAAGACATGAAGAAGCTCTGAAAGACTGAGTGTTTTGTCCTTCATCAGATTGATCTCTCTGAAAGGAAGTGGAAATATGAGCTGGACGTCCTGATTGTCTTTCTCTTCAGCCCAGTCCAGGATGAACTTCTGCACAGAGACTGTTTTTCCAATGCCAGAGACTCCCTTTGTCAGCACAGTTCTGATGGGTTTGTCTTGTCCAGGTAAAGGTCTAAAGATGGCATTGCATTTGATCGGTGTGTCCTCTGTTGCTGATCTCCTGGATTGTGTCTCAATCTGTCTCACCTCATGTTCATTACTGATGTCTCCACTCTCAGTCTCTGTGATGTAGAGCTCTGTGTAGATCTCATTCAGGAGTGTTGGGTTTCTCTGCATTCCTGTTCCCTCACACAGACACTCAAACTTCTTCCTCAGATTTGATCTAAATGTTTTGAGGACTTCAGCATGATTAGAGTGATGTCTGTAAAATCAATACGGCAGAATATAAGTATAAGTGATACATGTATAGAGCCATAAAAAGAGAAGGCTATTTTGTTTTCTATATAATCTATTATATATAATGCAGAACGCCTAGATTTGTTTATAAAGGTTTTTGTTATTTGTCAAAATCCTGCATTTTGCCTGATGCCAGGATAAGTGCTTTCATTAAAGTCTTGTGGTTCATTCATAATCTCCTGCTTTTTTTACAGACGGGTTCTGTTACGTCTGATTTGGGTCGCAGGATTCGCCTTAAATAGCATGAAGTAGAACAGCAGAATAATCATATACTTTGAAAGTGAATTATGCTACTAACTGAATATTTCTGTAAACAGCTTAGTTGCTGTTTTATATTCGAAATATACAAAAAGGATGATAAAGGTGGTGATAAAATGCTAATACTGTAAACACACAATCGATATCCATTTTATATTAATGTGCTTAATGTTACTTAGCTTGGTAGACATTAACCACAGATACAGTGAGGCGAATGAGATGGATTACTTGATGAAACAAATGTTTATAGTGATTATTATTAATAAATGCAGCTATTTATTTAATATATGTATAATAAGCAGTGACCTGACCAAAACAATCAAACATCAAAACCAAGTTAAAAGTACTATCAATTCACCATGCAAATTTCCTGTGGAAAAACAAAACACTGCAATATTTTTAGTATATACTTAAATTAAAAATAACACCTGAGATTTTTCGGTGTGTCTCCACTCTTATGGGGTCGACGATCTAGAGACCAGTCACTCTTCACGGATTCTGGTGAATCTGATTTATTCTGCTGAGCCAAACTGTAACAAAACAGAACATCTTTCTGTTATATGGTTCAATCAAACTTTAAAATAGAGAGTTAATAACAAAAGAGAAGTTGTATTATTTTTTTATTTATTTTTTTGCAGTGCATTACCAAATTTGACTGTAGAAAAGCAGTAACCTGAACAATACAATGTAAGAACATCAAACCACGTTTAAAGTACCATCAATTCACCGTACTAATTTCCTGGGGAGAAAAAATGTAAACACTGTAATATTTTTAGAATATACTGAAATTAACACCTGTGATTTGGCGGTGTGTCTCCACCCTTAAGGTCGGGTACAGGATCCATAGACTGGTCACTCTTCATGGACACAAAGCTCAGCTCTGGAGAATATGATCTCTTCTGCTGGACTGAACTATAATACAGCAAATAATAACGTCAGGGCTTGACATTAACACCCGCCAAACCGCCAAATGCGGGTGGATTTCACGCGTAGCGCGGGTAACACAGTCACTCCCACTAGCCACTTAGTTTGGCGTGTTGAAAAATTGTAGTCTTGTCAAAAGACATCGGACATAACAAAAGAATTGCATGGCATTAGACATGTGGAGATTAAACTCGTGGACTGGCCGTCGGACTGAGGGCTGTTTTAGTCTGCCCTTAATTATCAACTTAATGTGATGATATAGCGATCTTTTTTAATGGGCTATATGCACGCATAAATTCCGCATTTGACGTAAGGATGCTCGTCCATTTCCGGTTGTGGAGATTAAAGCGGAGGAAAACCGAGGAAAACGGGATTATGGCAGAGTCTTCAAAATTTACTGTCCTCCAGTCTTTGAAATGAAACGTACATGCGTTTAGATGTAATTTTATATATAGTTATATTTATTTAATATAATTTTTAAAAGAAGCATAAACACAACAAGGGGTGTCTGTTTTATCTGTTTTTGTGACTAACGTTTCTTTAGTACAACCATGGAGTATAAAATTCAATATAAATTCTCGGTATTGCATTGGACTCTACGATCGGCGGAAGTTATCGAGCATCCTTAATCCTTCACCGGAAATACCGCCGTGCATAGAGCCCATAGCATCCAGAACATACGCGCATCTCTCTCTCCTGTAGTGCCGCTGCGTGAGGGTGCGCGCGCCAAATATGACATCCAGACTTTTGTCAAACGATCATCACACGCGACTGGTCGCATGCACACACAAATCAACACAGCGTTCAGTCAGTTCGTGAGTGTGCGTGGCCAATATAAAGAGAAAAAATAATCTTCATTATTAAGGGACACGGTGTAACTACTGTACTAGCAGGGCGGTGTCACGTGCCTGTCCTGTCTTGTGCTGCACATGGGTGTTTTGTTATTTTGAGCCATGTGCTCGAGTCATTATCTGATCCCTCCCCCGTTACCTGATTATTGTTTGAGTTCATCCACCTGTTCCCTCCTGATTAGTTTCCCTTCTTAAGTCTCCTCTTGTTTGCAGTCTGGGTCGGTTCGTTGTCATATGTTTTCCCAGTTTCTGTGTGGTGGTCTTCATGTTAAGAGTCAGTGTTTGTTCTTCAAGTTCAGTTTTGTTTAATCCCTTGTGGGTTTTTGCTTTGTGTTTTGTTTTCTTTTGTTAATAAATCATCCGTTACTGCACTTGAGTCCTCCCTCCACTTTTTGTAACTGTACCGTGACAGGCGGCCCTTACGTCACGTCATATCACAACTATCTTTCCAGAGTTAAATCTATGTTTTAATAAAATGAATCATGCCATGAAAGAAAGCAGGAGATGCATTTGTGGGAATAATCTGGGGAAAAAAGACCTGTTAGCCTATACTTGTTTAAGGTGGACATATCTCCAGTTGATGATAATTATTAAGTTAGAGCTCTGAGGAAATGCTGATGCAAAACAAACAATCCAAAGTCCCCAAAACTGTCATTTAGGCCTATATAAAGATGTAATCCTGTTGCCTTAATTGTGGATTTTTTCTTAAAAAAAAAAATGTATTCTTTGGGCATTTTTGCAGATAATTGTTCTACTCTGTATTACAGTATTTACTGTTGTAAAAAAAGATTCAGCACTTTTATTATATACAGCAACAAGCTATTGTGTTAATCTTAATAGACAACATGTTTTCATAAAATGAGCTTTACAACCTTATCAGAGCTAATGATAATATTATTAAATTTTAGCACGTTTTAAGCCCCATTTACAGCGCTTGACATTAACTTTTTTGCTCACTAGCCAATGTGGCAAGTGGTTTTCCAAAATTATTAGCCACACAGCACTCTCAGAACATACTAAAATTGGGGCTTAAAACATGCTAAAATTTAATAATATTATCATTAGCTCTGATAAGGTTGTAAAGCTCCTTTTTTGGAAACATGTTGTCTATTAAGATAAACGCATACAATAGCTTCTTATTGTATATAATTAACGTGCTGCATCATTTTTTTTTACAGCAGTAAATACTGTAATACAGAGTAGAACATTTACCTGCATTAGAAACAATGAGCAAAGAATACATTATTTTTTCTAATCCACAATTAAGGCAACAGGATTCCAACTTTATATAGATTTATATAGACAACCTTATACAGTTTTGGGGACTTTGGATTGTTTGTTTTACATCAGCATTTCCTCAGAGATTTAACTCTGGAAAGATAGTTGTGATATGATGTGACGTAAGGGCAGCCCTGCTAGTAGTTACACCGCGTCCCTTAATCATGAAGATTATTTTTTTTCTTTATATTGGCCACGCACACTCACGAACTGACTGAACGCTGTGTTGATGTGTGTGTGTGCATGCGACCAGTCGCGTGTGATGATCATTTGACAAAAGTCTGGATGTCATATTTGGCGCGCGCACCCTCGCGCAGCGGCACTACAGGAGAGCGTGAGACGCGCGTATGTTCTGGATACTCCTGCTATTAAAAAAGATCGCTATATCATCACATTAAGTTGAAAATTAATGACAGACTAAAACAGCCCTCAGTCCGACGGCCAGCCCGCGAGTTTAATCTCCACGTGTCTAATGTCGTTCAAGAGTATTCATGAATGGACCAATGAGCAAACACTAAACTATGTGCAGGTAGTACTCATGGGAGATATAGTGTCAAATGCAATTTGTTTGTTATGTCAGATCAGTGTTTCCCACAGAATTAAATTCTATTTGTGGTGGTGTGATGTTTGGGGGCCTATATGTATTGTAAGCTTGTCATCAATAACCTTCATTGGAATATACATGTTCATAAGCTTAACTGCAGGAATCTGGAGTTATTACAGTGCATTACCAAATTTGACTGTAGAAAAGCTGTAACCTGAACAATACAATGTAAGAACATCAAACCACGTTAAAAGTACCATCAATTCACCGTACTAATTTCCTGGGGAGAAAAAATGTAAACATTGCAATATTTTTAGAATATACTGAAAGTAACACCTGTGATTTGGCAGTGTGTCTCCACCCTTAAGGTCGGGTACAGGATCCATAGACTGGTCACTCTTCATGGACACAAAGCTCAGCTCTGGAGAATCTGATCTCTTCTGCTGGACTGAACTGTAATACAGCAAATAATAGCCCTTGGTGACATCAGATAAAAAGCTTTTTTTTTTCAGAGCCAAAGCAACCTTTTCTGTTTTGAAGATGTCCACTGTAGTCTGTGGAATGTGTTAACAATGTAAAAACGGTTGATATCATGTTGTCTTTATTGAGTGTACCTGCATCCTGGAGAACAATCTCCATCTTTGGATTTGTACATGACTCATTCTGTCCTCATGGTTCATGCCCTCATGATTATTTATTTAATATATATATATATATATATATATACAGCGCTTGACATTAACTTTTTTGCTCACTAGCCAATGTGGCAAGTGGTTATCCAAAAAGCTCCTTTTTTGGAAACATGTTGTCTAATAAGATAAACACATACAATAGCTTCTTATTGTATATAATAAAAGTGCTGCATCATTTTTTTTTTTTTTACAGCAGTAAATACTGTAATACAGAGTAGAACAATTATCTGCATTAGAAACAATGAGCAAAGAATACAGTATTTTTTCTAAGTAAAAATGACAGTTTGGGGGACTTTGGATTGTTTGTTTTGCATCAGCATTTCCTCAGAGCTCTAACTTAATAATCATCATCATGAAGATGGTAGATCTGAGTAACTGGAGATATGTCCACCTGAAACAAGTATAGGCCTACCGGTCTTTATTTTTCAGATTATTCCCACAAATGCATCTCCTGCTTTCTTTCATGGCATGATTAATTTAATTAAAACATAGAATTAACTCTGTTAAGATAGTTGTGATATGACGTGACGTAAGGGCAGCCCTGCTATTAGTTACACCGTGTCCCTTACTCAAGAAGATTATTATTTTTTTCTTTATATCAGCCACGCACACTCACGAACTGACTGAACGCTGTGTTGATTTGTGTGTGCATGCGACCAGTTGCGTGTGACGATCGTTTGACAAAAGTCTGGATGTCATATTTGGTGCGCGCACCCTCAAGCAGCGGCACTACAGGAGAGCGTGAGACGCACCTGTATTCTGGATACTCCTGCTATTAAAAAAGATCGCTATATCATCACATTAAGTTGAAAATTAATGACAGACTAAAACAGCCCTCAGTCCGACGGCCAGCCCGCGAGTTTAATCTCCACGTGTCTAATGTCGTTCAAGAGTATTCATGAATGGACCAATGAGCAAACATTAGAATATGTGCAGGTAGTACTCATGGGGGTTGTAGTGTCATAGTGTCAAATGCAATTTGTTTGTTTTTTATTTTTTTTTGCAGTGCATTACAAAATTTGACTGTAGAAAAGCAGTAACCTGAACAATACAATGTAAGAACATCAAACTATGTTGAAAGTACCATCAATTCACCGTACTAATTTCCCGTGGAGAAAAAATTTAAACACTGTAATATTTTTAGAATATACTGAAATTAAAAGTAACACCTGTGATTTGGCGGTGTGTCTCCACCCTTAAGGTCGGGTACAGGATCCATAGACTGGTCACTCTTCATGGACACACAGCTGGGCTCTGGAGAATCTGATCTCTTCTGTAATACTGAACTGTAATACAGCAAATAATAGGCCTTGGTGACGTCAGATGAAAAGCTTTTTTTTTTTTTTTTTTTTTCAGAGCCAAAGCAACCTTTTCTATTTTGAAGATGTCCACTGTAGTCTTTCACAATAAAATCAGGAAGAGTGTATTAACAATGTAGTGTACCTGCATTCTGGAGAACAATCTCCATCTTTGGATTTTTGTACATGACTCATTCTGTCCTCATGGTTCTGCTGATGGTGCATCTGAGTAGTCTGATCTCCTCCGCTGATCCTGAATGGAAAGGACAGAAGCACTAATAATTAGTAGTTTCTACCATTTCCTGTTATGCCTCATTTTAAGGGCAGAAAACTAGTTGCTCCCCCCACAACTAGGTTTTACTTGGTATGATCCAACTTTAGTGCGTGTAAGAAAAACTCACCCTGCGTCCCAATTCGCATACTATCCGTCCTAAATAGTATTCGAAAATAGAATTAGTACGTCCCAAATCGTAGTATGTTGAAATGAGTGTTTCAAAGATACCCGGATGGTCTACTTTTTCCGGCCAGAATCCGAAGTGTAGATCGATGCACACTCTAACGGCTGATATTGCCCACAAACCATTGCGCATTGGACGAGGATTCGGTTAGAACTACAAACACGAGTAAAAAGGAGTAGTATGAAGCTGCAGACTCGGAGACCTGCATCTACAGTCCCCCTGCACCCAGAGTCCCGCATTCTCAGACCCCTCGTTTTTCGAGACAGCGCCTCCTATCAAATTGTATCGGATAAACATGTGAAGAACAAAACATGAGTAGGCTATCTTCAATTTTATAGCAAATCGTAGTAGCCTACTCGTTTGATTTATTTTTTAATAAAACTAATTTAGCTCATCGACATCGATACAACATATGAATAGTCCATTTAATAGCTATTTGTAAAGATAGTTTGTAACAAGATTTGAGCCGTTAATGTATGTTTTTTCGCCCTCTTCCCCCCGAATATATTTAGATAGCTTACGTTTACGTTAGCCTTTAGCCTTGGACTTTTTGTAGAAATGTCTTAAATGCTGCAGTTATTTTCACTGCCCATTTTGTGCCCCCATATATTTTAAACCCACAAAGTTGTCCAAAGTTTAAAAACATCTCAACTTGAGATTCTCAAGGGACACTTCAACAGAGCAGTGCAACATGGTAACTAACATTTGTAAACATATTTTTTTTTTCTTTCTTTCTTTCTTTTTGAAACATCATAAGACATGTGCTATCGGTCCTATGGAGTTGCCCCTGCCGAATCCAGCAACATATAATTTTATGATTATGCAATGTGACTTATAAATGAGTTTTTTTAATGCAATTGAAGACAAAAACTTAAGTCACGAACACTGTTTTTTCTTCCTTTTTTCTTTACAGCAAGATGATGTTTAGGTGATCATTAAATTAAGTACAGAATTGTTTATTATTGGTGTTTTGTCTATTCTGATTTGTTTTGCTTCGCATTCAAAATATCAAAAAACAGATATTGTAATGTTAGCATGGTAATGTTAATTAGACCATTATAGGTTGAACTGAAAGAAAAATTGGAATTTTAATTTAAAAAAAAAAAAAAACATTGTAGCAATATAATATCACATAGCCTTACTATTTTTCTGAAGATAGTTCAATCTGCTAATTGTATCCCTTCCATCAGTAACAATTAGTTTTTTGACACATTCATTAAGCAGGGAACACAAATATTTATTGGATAATTTATTTGAAGACCGTAATATTGCATCCTATTGTTTTTAATTGCATTTAGATAATGCGCTGTACTCTGTGTGCGGGTGTTATTCGATCTTTTGAACAGCAGGAGGCGCTGTGTTCGAAAAACGAGGGGTCTGAGAATGCGGGACTCTCGGTGGGGGACTGTAGATGCAGGCTCCGAGTCTGCAGCTTCATAATATTGGTAAAAAGTGTTAAAAAACTACAGACACGTAGTCGATACGGAGGACGCGCGAGTCCCCGCGGTTGTGTAGAGAGGTTTAGATAAAGAGCTTCGAGTGATTAATTATCAGTATCTAACCTAACGAAAATGAATTTATTCAATGTTGTCTACATTATATTGCATTTGCAGCAGCACTGTGAACTTTTGTAAAGACACGTTTAGCCATTACGTTTTAAATGCATCATTATATTCAAATTGCAAACACATGAGGAGAGCATGAAAGACCCACAACTGGTAGATGAACGTGCTCTCCGAAACGGTAGGAAATAAAATTAGATAGAATGGAGGATTTTAACTGTGACAAGATGATTTTTTTTACGGGCAGTTTACGGTGACAGGATGCACGCAGAACGCGACAGAGCTGTCCGTTAAAGATGACGTGATATGTCCCAAAGCATGCCTACTCTTTTGCTACACACTCAAAAGTATGTACTTTTTCCTCACAAAAAGAGTACATACTTTTAGGGCGTAGTATAAGTAGGCGAATTGGGACGCAGCATCAGTCTTGGCCTACAGACTAAGAATAAGGAAGAGAGAAGAATAAGAAGAACTGTCACACGCTCATTTACGGAAAAATTTTTTTTAATTAAAGAAGAAACAATTATTGTTTTTCCTATGTCTGCTGTGCATTTCTTTGTATTCTTACTCATTGCGGGGTTTATTCTATTACGTTTAAAAGGATTATTATTTATATTAGCATCGAGTTTTTTGATAAGGAAATAGCATAGACATACATGAGGAAATAGGATAGGTCGAGTCAGCAAGCAACAGCCTACGAAGTAAAAAAAAAAGAAAAAAAAGGAGACGATTGATATTAAACGCAAAAAATCTAGAACATCAATAAGAGGAAAATCGTAGTTCGTATAACTAGATTTACTTTACTTAAAAAAATATTGATCCGCGCTAACATCAAACGATCGCGACCTCATAACGGTTTATCTCGACCAACTGCCGCTTCTGCGATATTTACTGGCACAATTTAAAAAAAATAACAAATGGTGTTTAACTACCAAATATTAACGCGAACTTTTGTGTATTAAATCATCTTTAATACTCACTTTACTACTGGCACGCAACGTGACGCAGTTACTTTGAAGAGAAAATGGCTCCTAAGAATTTTACTTTCACTTTGCTGCTTATCAGTGTCAACATGGAAGAAACCATTTGATTTCAGCAGTGGGGTTTTTTTTTTCTTTTTTCCTGTTAACGTGTATTTGTTGTTTTGCATGAGACTAAAGCGGTATTATAGCCTCACGTGAATAACGGTGGGGGATGAAAAAAGTATGATATTAATTTGGTTCCATTATTGGTAAACAGAAAGTTAGTACAAGGCTTGGCTTATGAATATTAATTACGTAGCGTGCCCAACGTGTCTGAATGGCTGAAAATAAGAAGACAGGCCTTTCCAAAAACCCACACTTGCGGTCTTTGCTCTTAACTAGCCTACTTGCATGACATGTTGTATATGGCCCAAGTGTTTAAGTTAGGCGTGAAGACTGCAAGTGAGTTGAACTTTTGATTACCTGATGGGACACACTTATAGTGTTGCAAAAATATTTACAGAGCTGTATTTTGATTTTCAATACTTTGCATTTTAAAATAAACTTCTAAATGTCTGGTCAGTAGTCCCTAGTATGTAACAGAAGACAATTTAAAATTGTGGTGCTTCAGTGATAAAAAGCAGTTGCAAATGTACAAAATACTCATAGCCATACTGATCTTTGCGACACTTTAACAATTTGTTTTACTACCAAATTGTATTTAATATCTAATTAATTTAACTGACAGTGGAATGTTTCCTTACTATTTCGTGACTTCGGGGCACCAGATTTCCTAGTCACTGTAAAGTGTTTAAATTGGGGAAACCCGTTGCCTTAAAATTATTACGTAAATAGCTCCATGGTTCATTGAAAAAATTAAGTTATGCGAACTTGACAATTCCACAGTACTTCTTTTTTTTTTTTTTTTGGATTAAGCATGGAGTTATTTACTTAATAATTTTAAGGCAATGGTTTTCCCCAATTTGTTTAAGTCAAGTCGACTCATCATTTTTACAGTGATTGTTTATTTCAGCACATTGACACAATCTAGTTTTACATCACATGGACTAAAGATTTTATCATGGCCTTATGTTTTAATGTCTGGTGATCATAATTTTAAATGTGTGTGATATAGCCTACCCCAAAAGTTAATAACTTAATAAGGAAAGTAATTCATTAAGAATAATGTTTCTGAATTAAAACCAACATTTAAAAAACTTCTTTCTGATTTTGTAATGAAACCTAAAACCCTTAAACTCATTAATAACATTTCTGATCTGATTTCTGAACCATCACTTTTAAAGCCCCTTTCACACAGCGCGTTGATCCCGGGAAATTGTCGGGAAATTGCCAGAACACCTGGAGAGACTAATAAACAAAAAAAATATATACAAAGGACTACAAAACATGGCACAGAACAGGAAATAACAAAGTCCACACAAAACAGGAATCATGACATAAATCCTAACTTGTGTAGGGACCTTAGTCGGTAGGGACACAGGATGACGTAAGACCTAATATTTGAAAAATCATATATGAACTGAAGTCATTAAGTAAGAAATTACTGAATTAGCCATGTTAATAGCCATGCTATTTATCAATTCTAATTGTAACAACAATTGTCCACAAATTCCTGTTACGGTACCTTATTGTTCTTATTTTCCAAATAATCAACCACAACCATCAGTTAGTTGTTTTGTGTTCACCACCCTGTTACTTGAATCGACTTGGTATGACCAAAATTGAGGCGGGAGTCATCCCAGTCCCTTAGAAACAGCCGCACCCTCATTTATAAAGAACTGCAGCTGGGAATGACTGTTTGGAAAGACTGCCACATAGGAAAGCAATATTGTGTTGCTGCTGATATAACTATTACTGTGCTACCATGATTATGGTCAATTTTATTTAGGCGCAGTAAGTAAAATATTAATTTAATTTTTAACTTAAATCATTTTATTAATTTACACTTGGGGAGCAACTAAACACGCAGAAAATAAAAGTATACTGATGAAAAATAAGTGGTTTAGTTATTAAAAATTCAATGTTTCCCAGTAACGTTAGCCTATTACTCGCTGAGGTAACATTAGGTGGTTGCAATGGTATCATGTAGAAACTAATAATACAGAAAAACGGTTGTAGTGCTTGTTGTTAATGTAGCAACTAGTTTAAGTAACTTAGTGGTGTGAAACTTCAGTATAGGTCTACTACTGTGAGCATTTTGAGGTAAACTTAGCAGCTTGAAATATAGGGAAAAGGCAGTGTGAACATCAAACCATTACAAAAATGATCTTACAGCAAATGCAGAAATAAACAACTGAACCCAGTTCGTAGTTTAACATTCAACGTGCCACCAATTTGTAAAAAAAAAAAAAAAAAAAAAAAAAAAAAAGTATATAGGCTAGCTAGCCCACACACAACGATTAAGATTACGTGCAGTATGATTTGTGTCACTATAACATATACGCCTCATATCGTCGACCAACGGTGAAGAATCACCGCAGTTTACCACTTAGGTTATTAACGTTTCCAAAATACGTACTAAACCAAAAGCAATCTTCAAGAACGCTTTTGTGACTGATGAGATTTGGTACTTACTTTTTTCTTTATTCTTTCTCGAAAATGTGACGCAGTTATTTTTTTAGCAGGCTAAAACAAAATGGCGCACGAGTCCCAACTTTCGATTTTAACTTTGGCCAAGTCATAACAACAGTGGAATAAACCAGCTTCAGAGGGGTGCATTCACTAATGAATCGTCAGTGTTTTGCCATAAGGAAATAACAAAAAAAATTATATATATCTAAAAGTTGTTTTGTAAATCAATATAGATTTTTTTAAAGAGGTCACATTGAAATGATTCACATTACAAAACTTACGTAACTCACCACAGTCCCAATTCAAATTTGTCTAAACTGGTGCAATTATTAAAATATTCCTTACTATAATCCTTCCTAACATTGGATTTGAATATTTGCGTATATTTGTAATGGCTTGTTTTGGTGTTGGATGAACTGTTTAACTGTGTTCAAAGTACTATTAATGACTCCTTATAGCCAGAAGAGGGCGATGTTGCATTATTTTCAAATAAAATAAAGCTTTTTTTTTTTTTTCGTTTTAAAACCGCAATTTAAGATTTTTTTTTAAAGAAACCAAGCAAATAAACAAATCAATAACAATGTCAAATCTTACTACAAACTTACAGTGCTCAAATAAAATTTTCAAACAAAGGTTTAATGTGTTTTTTTTACAGACTCAAGTGAGAAACGTTTATAACATTTAAACGTAATTCTTGATTAACAATAGGCCTACAGTCTGTGTTGAATGATATATTTTTTACTCGTAAAAATCTGCACACATGCATTAATGCTATTTGTATGCATTATGTTATTGGCAGAAACAGCGTTCTTGCAGGGCATGCTGTTGTATAAATGACAGAAAATGCAGTATGAATACAAAGTCAATTTAAATAATGCTGAATTTACTATGTGTGTACACTCTTTACCCTTACAAAAAATAAGTAGGATATACTTCAAGTTCATTTAGGCCTAGAAGTTCAAGTTCACTGTATACTATACATGAACGTGTACTATTTCAATACTACTTGGGAGTAAATTGGCTCACTTTGTTGTGCATACAAATATACTTTAACCCCCGGTTTCACAGACAAGGCTTAAGTCTAGTCCCAGACCAAAATGCATGTTTAAACTGTTTTCATGGAAAGTAACTTGCACTGATATCTTTGAATATGTCAGTGCCATTGTTTTGTCAGATGCACACCAGTAATGTTTTTTTTTTTTGCTAAGTCATGTTTATAAAAGCTATAAATGCCCTAATCAAACTAATGCCTAATCCTGGTTTAAAATAAGCCCTTGAATCATGGCCTTATGGTTATTGTCTGGTGCTCAGCATTTTAGATGTGTGTAATAGTAATCTACCCAAAAAGTAAATAACTTAATAAGGAAAGTAATTCACAAAGAATAATGTTTGTGAATTAAAATCAACATTTTAAACACTTCTTTCTGATTTTGTAATGACACCTACAAACCTAAATCTCATTAATGACATTTCTGATCTGATTTCTGAACTATCACTTTCAACTAAGTCTTCTTTCACAAAAACGATCAGCCCTTCTTCAATAGGCCTAATTTATTCATAAAGAACAATACAATCTTAATCTTAACAGAGTTCGAACCATTTGTTCTCTAAATTGCCTGGCGCAATGTTAATTACAGTATTCTTCTTTGATTTTCTTTCCTTTTTTTGTTTTACTACAGATAAGATATTTAGTAGCCTTTGTTTAATTGTTGTTTTATTGTCATGCCAGCAGAGGGAGCTATTGAGCTTTCAAATAATTTAACAGAGTTTTACAGAATTTGATGGGAACTGTATTGATATTATTCTTGGCTACAAAGATTAAATGTAATTAAACTTAACATTTGGGTCAGTGCTAAATGAATACATGTTACTTTTACAAGTTTTTGCAATTCACAATTGTGGATACTTTCTTACCAGAGCAACTTAAAGGAATAGTTGACACCAAAATTACAATTCTGTCATCATTTACTCAACCTCATATCATGATGCAAACCTGTGTGCCTTTTCTTTCTTCTGCTGAACACAAAGGGGGGAAATAAAGGGATCTTTAATTAAGGCTAACATTTCATAAAATATGCACACGTGACATCACAAAAAATGTGTGCTTGAGCTAGATGGCTTATCAGTATAAACATTGCAGTACATCAGCAAACTTTGCTAGTATACATGTCAGCTGACATTATTTTCTTCATGTCAGTCACCTTTTAGATTAAACAATGCGCGTTCTCGCGTCAGGTTGCCTGCGCGTTCGCGTTCGCAACCCCCCACCCCACCCAGGACGCGCCAGGCTGTGAGTGAGCGCTCGAGAGTATTTCCACCGCACGAGAGAGTGAAATACAACAGTCAAACCGCAGAAAGAGAGAGAGAGGGAGACACACACACATCGGCACAACCGGAGCAGCTTTTCAATGAATTACACAGCAGCAACATGCGCTTCACCGCCACGCCTGCCCTGAACATCACAGCAAACTAGGATACAAGGTATGACGACACGAAACGCGGTTGAAATGCGAACTTGTCTCATGAACTTTCATCCTTTGATGTGCGTTTTCATCCTTCAGATGCCAGTATGATGATGATGATGATGATGATGCATGCTTGTGTTTGGGCTTGGAAAGTAAAAGAGCAGGTGCAAACTGTATCAACATGAAGCCTTTAACTTGTTTTTCTTTTGAATGTCAGAGCATTTTCTTTATTGGTTCGGATAACATTCAGCATTACTGTTATTTTTATTGCGTGATAGTTCTCAAAGAATTATTAATGCATTTGTGTCTTTGTAGATTCGCTGTGTTTGGTCATGTGGGTTATATAAAAGCTATAGCCTGCTGCAGGATATATGGGTTATGCACATGTGGGCATCCCTGGTGTATGTGGACACTTGTTTGTTTCTTTGTGTGACGCTTTAAATGAAAGGGATCCACTATCATCATTTAGCTTCTGGTTTATTTTGTCGTTAACCTATGGATGTAAATGTTTGGTTACATAAACGAAACGGGACGCTTTCTGTGTGACCTTCATATCATAATCGTTTTAAATGTTTAATTGGTGAATCTGATATTAATGAGCTGGTGTGTCGGAGACTGTGGATAGAGGTTTAAACGGTGTAAATGTCAGCGATGTGATAACGGGACTTTATTGCTCGGGACCTGACGGGGTCGGGGATGCTCCATTCAGGCGGGGTTTCCTCGGTTATTCTGCAGATGGAGGTTCCCTTCTCCTCCACTCCCCTTTAAAATGAGCTTTCAGGGGTTCTTCAGAGTGGAATACTTGCTTACTGTATTCATTTCTTAAATATTTTTTTTAATTCCACGCATAAAGTGACACTATTACCTGACAAACATGATTTTATTCGGTATTGTGATAAATCATACATGTCTCTGACAGACAGAATGAGATTGTAAACAGCCGAGAGAGTGAGCAGGGGAGCGGCCCGCGCTTTTCCTAGCCAATGAGAAACGCGCTCTGACTATTAATTATTTTGCGCGTGCATTTTTGCTGACATCAGGTTGGCTGATGTCTCGAGAGGGCGTGTCGCTAAGTCAAAGAAAGGGTGGACATTTCATACAGTACTGTTTAAAAATGTTAAATAGAGTGTAATGTGCAATGGTACAAAGTTGCAGGCAGTGGAATGATACAGTTTTGTCACATGAACGTGCAGTTTTACGTCATGCAGTTTTGTGTAAAATCCTCGAGGCATTCTGAAATAATGAGTCAAAATGAAATAATTCAGGGATTTTATGCATGATAGTGCAATAGTTCAGTCATGGAAAACCTGGAAACATCTGTGATGTCCAAGCCTGGAAATTTCATGAAATAGATACAAATTTTAATATTTATGGAAATGGTTTTTAGTTATCCTTGACTCTGCCTTATTTCATCAGCTCAATTGCCTCATGCCCTAACCCATGAATATTAATTAGTAAATAGGAGTGTAAAGCCTGCTTACATCATATTTCAGGGAATGGTTTGATATTCCAAAGATAGCCTCTAATTCCTCTAATATACAGCTTGTCATGCACACGCACCTGCTTGCCTCTTGATTTCTAGATTTATTATGAGTCATCATGAGGCAAATATTGAGAATCTGAATTATGCAATCGCCAAAGTGCTCTAAAAACATGCCATTGCAGTACATGTATGTTAGGAGATGGCGAGGAGCTCAGGGCAAGAGCTTCATCTATGAGTTCTGATGTGTATCAGTGTTTGAATGCTCTGAAGATGTGCACATGATCCGCAGACATGGAGGAAGTGTGTGTGTGTGTGTGTGTGTGTGTGTGCTGGAGCTGTTTGACATTCTAATCGCATTCACTTATCAGTCAGCCTCATTCTGGGAATGGAGAACAGCCTCTCCTCTCCTCTCCTCTCCTCTCCTCTCCTCTCCTCTCCTCTCCTCTCCTCTGATTTCTTCATTCTCTTAGTTTGCTGTTTGATTGCACTATTGCAAATGAACTTGTCCCAGGTCTGTGAGGGAGGATGCGAGACTGCAATGTTTTCAGCATTGAGACGTGAGTGAGAGTTTAAGTCAGTAACTGCTGCAGTGTTCACACACACACACTCACACACACACACACACACTGGGGAATTCCTCTTCTACACGCACTGAGCGATTTGGTGTGTGTGTGTAGACAACATATCTTGCCCTGAAGCAATTCCTATTGAATAAAAGCAAAGCGAATGCTTCATTGTAAAAATGTCAAGCTTCACTGCACTCATGTTCCTCATATTTATTTCCCTAATGAACGTGCAAGTGATTGATCTAATAACTCTAATATATATATGAAAGTGACTGTCTATCTATCGTTCCATCCGTCCGTCTTTCTTGGATATTGTGTACGCTATAATGTAAACACCGCAATATTAAACATGACAAAAAGAATCATCATCATACCATTAATGAAACCGACAACGAAACACATTGTGCAATATTAGAATTGTTCTGTTTCCCATACTATTTAATGATAACATTGCATATTTAAAGGAGTAGTTCACTTTAAAAAAACTTTTGCTGATAGTTTACTCACCCCCATGTCATCCAAGATGTCCATGTCTTTCTTTCTTCAGTCGAAAAGAAATTAAGGTTTTTGATGAAAACATTCCAGGATTTTCTCCATATAATGGACTTCAATGGGAACCAAACGGTTCAAGGTCCAAATGAGAGTTTCAGTGCAAACTGTTTAAAGGGCTTTAAACAATTCCAGACGATGAATAAGGGTCTAATCAAGTGAAACGAAAAAAAAAAGTTTAAGTTTTATAAGCATAAATGCTCGCCTTGCTCTGTTCTTTGATGCATGTTCGTGACTCTCCTGTTCAAACCCGTTCATCAAAGTGAACAAATCTTTTTTCGAGTCATGACTCGAAGGGTCCTAGATAAGACCCTTATTCATCGTCTGGTGTCGTTTAAAGCGCTTTGAAGCTGCACTGAAACTCTCATTTGGACCTTGAACCGTTTGGTTCCCAATGAAGTCCATTATATGGAGAAAATCCTGGAATGTTTTCATCAAAAACCTTCATTACTTAGAAAGAAAGACATGGACATCTTGGATGACATGGGGGTGAGCAAATTATCAGCAAAAGTTTTTTTTTTAAAGTGAACTACTCCTTTAAGTTATATTACATTATATATCCAGTTACAGTTACAGTAGTCGCATCCAGTTATATTGGAGATAAAATGGTTATTTTGCATTTTAAATCCAGCCTTGAGTAAAATTGTAATTATCATTCATCCTTCCATTGGGAATATTTTTCTCTGCCTATTTTTTAATCAATTTTTTCCCCTGTTTTGATACATGTAAAGATTATAAAATCAGAGATTATAACCCTCTCGGAATTTAAAAAATATGTTCAGGACATCAAACAAATATAGAAATCCCTCTAACATCTCTGGGATGGTAGCCTACTTTACCACAATATCCGGTCCCTTCACCTTATTTCCTGGCATGTGCTTAGTACTTTTGTGCAGCAGCAGAATGAGGAGCAGGAACAGACCCACCGCCCGCTGGGACCGGGACGGCAGGCACTATACACACTCTTACATATGCATGTGTAGAGTCAGCCTGGACCCCCACGGCGCCCACCCACTCGCTCTCATTGGCCTCCAGCCCGTCGCTGTAGGAGCAGGTGTCGTGCAGTTGGCAGATTCATCTGTCGTCATGACGGGGGCTCCTCTCTCTATCTCTCCCGCTCTCTGAGATCATTGTGTCCCCCTTCCACACTTAATTTCTCATCCAAACTCAACAGATTTGCTGGTTCAGGGAAGATGGGACTGTCCGGAAGGCTAAAAATCCAAAGTAGTGACCTGTGAAATTAGGGGCCTTGAGTAGAAAGCTGAGCTATTCCAGGTTGTGAGCAAAACTTGCTGATACACATGAAGTTTGACAGAACAGAAGCTGCGTCAGGCCAGATCAGGCCAACAAGCTTCTCTTCAGATTAGTGATTAAGACTGGACCTTGAGTTTTAAGGCCAATGCACACTGAGTCCGTAATTTGCGTATGCATTTGTCTATCCCATCTATCCATCCATCTATTTATCCCGTTTATCCCGTCTGTCCATCCATCTATCTATCTATCCATCCATACGTCCGTCTGTCCATCCATCTATCCATCCATCCGTCCGTCCGTCTGTCCATCCATCTGTCCGTCCGTCCATCTATTTATCCCGTTTATCCTGTCTATCCATCTGTCCATCCATCTATCTATCTATCCATCCATCCATCCATACGTCCGTCTGTCCATCAATCTATCCGTCCATCCATCCATCCATCCATCCCATCCCGTCTATCCATCCATCCAACTATTTATCCCGTTTATCCCGTCTGTCCTTCCATCTATCTATCTATCCATCCATACGTCCGTCTGTCCATCCATCTATCCATCCGTCCGTCCGTCTGTCCATCCATCTGTCCGTCCGTCCGTCCATCTATTTATCCCGTTTATCCCGTTTATCCTGTCTATCCATCTGTCCATCCATCTATCTATCTATCCATCCATCCATCCATACGTCCGTCCGTCTGTCCATCAATCTATCCGTCCATCCATCCATCCATCTATCCCATCCCGTCTATCCATCCATCCATCTATTTATCCCGTTTATCCCGTCTGTCCATCCATCCATCTATCTATCCATCCATCCATACGTCCGTCTGTCCATCCATCTATCCATCCATCTGTTTGTCCGTCTGTCCATCCATCTATCCATACATCCATCTATTTATCCCGTTTATCCCGTCTATCCATCTGTCCATCCATCTATCTATCTATCCATCCATCCATACGTCCGTCTGTCCATCCATCTATCCATCCATCCATCCATCTATCCGTCCGTCCATCCATCCATCCATCCATCTATCCCATCCCGTCTATCCATCCATCCATCCATACGTCCGTCTGTCCATCAATCTATCCGTCCATCCATCCATCCATCCATCTATCCCATCCCGTCTATCCATCCATCCAACTATTTATCCCGTTTATCTGTCTGTCCAT